TGGGACCTCAGTCACCAAACAAACCATTGGTAACACAATACGCTGCCATAGATCGAAGTCCTGCAGTGCCCACAAGGTCCCCCTCCTCAAGAAGGCACATGTACAGGCCCATCTGAAGTTTGTCGATGAACACCTAAATGGTTAAGAGAAGAATTGGGAGAAAGTACGGTGGTCAGATGAGACCAAAATTGAGCTCTTTGGCATTAATTTGACTCACCGTATTTGGAGGAAGAAAAATGCTGACTATGACCCTAAGAACATCATCCCTACAGTCAAGCACGGAGGTAGAAACATTATGCTTTGGGGTTGTTTCTCTGCTAAAGGTACAGGCCAACTTAGCTGGATTGAGGGGCTAATAATTGGGGCCATGTATTGTAAAATCTTGGATTAGAACCTTCTTCCCTCGGCCAGAACACTGAAGATGGGCCATGGATGGGTCTTCCAGCATGACAATGACCCAAAACATACTGCCAAGGTAACAAAGGAGTGGCTCAAGAAGAAGCACATTAAGGTCATGAAGTGGCCTAGCCTGTATCCAGACCTTAATCCTATAGCAATTTTATGGAGGGAGCTGAAACTTCGAGTTGCAAAGTGACAGCCAAGAAACCTTAAGGATTTAGAGAAGATCTGTAAAGAAGAGTGGACCAAAATCCCTCCTGAGATGTGTGCAAACTTGGTAACCAATTACAAGAAACGTCCTACCTATGTTCTTGCCAACAAGGGTTTATCCACCACATATTAAGTCATGTTTTGCTTGGGGATGAAAAACGTATTTTATTCACTGAACTGCAACTCAATTTTTAACATTTGTATCGTGTTTGTTCTGGATTTTTGGTTAATATTCTGTCTCTATCATTTAAAATACACCTATGATAAAAATTGTAGACCCTTCATTTCTTTGTAAGTGGATAAAAACTCACAAAATCTGCAGGGGATTAAATAAATATTTTCCCCACTGTGTGTCTTGTCTAATCCAGGGAGGCAGAGGGCAGTCGCTGAACTGTGAAACAGGGGCAAGGCACGCACCTGATGCCCTTGCTTGTTAAGACACCACCATTCCTAGCAATCACTGACTGCTGCAGAGGTGAGCATCTTGCGCTAGGGACTGGTGCTCTAGATAGGATTGTCATATGGTATGCATCTTGTCCATGGTCCTCAATTTAGTGAAGCCTTTGCTAAAATATCTGAAATAAGAACTGTCTGTATTGGCCCTAACATCTAACCTGGTTCTCCCTTTAAAGCTGAAACAGGTAGGACAGTGTGTGCATTGAGTTTACATGTTCTCACTGTGCTTGTTTGGGCTTTCACTAGGTGTTCTGGTTTCCTCCCACATTCCAATGACATGCTGATAGGTTAATTGGCTCCTGTCTAAACTTGAGGGGGGGTGATCACCCAAATGTGATTTTTGTAAGCTGACCAAAGTTCCTCTTTTTGAGACATTTTTCTAGTTTAGATCTGATTTGGTATTAGATAACAAAGGGAGTTAGTGGGATCAGCTGGGAACTTCTGGTCTGTTCTGTCATGATAATGCACCATAAAAACACTTTCGTTGAATAACTTGGTGTTAAAGTTTATCTTTCATTAAGTTTACAACCCTTCCTGACAGGTCACAATATACAGTTTGCATCATTAAAAAAGCCATTAGCTCCAATCAAGATTTAGCTAGGCTGAAATATTGTCACTACTCTTCAGGCAGCATAAAGCATTGCTTAGTTTCCCCCCCCAATGATCAGACTGCAACAATGTAACTTTGGTGAGAGGGTGATCTGTCATTTATTTGCAACAATGTAACTTTGGTGAGAGGGTGATCTGTCATGGTTATCACTTCTGCCTGGCAGTACTAGGGTCGCTGGTTCGAATCCCAGCCACCTGCCTGGAGTTTGCATGTTCTCCCTGTGCCTGCGTGGGTTTTCTCCGGGTACTCTGGTTTCCTCCCACACTAACAAAGACATGCTGGTCGGTCCTCTTACTGCTTGGTCCTCCCTGCCGAGCGCCCCAATAGCAAGCCACTTGCTATGGGGGCACTTTTGCATGCTTGTTCCCGAGCTGGCTCTGTGTGTTTATTGACACACAAAGCATGGTTGGCCCCGCCCCCTGCTCCTTCCTGACTGACAGTGATTGACAGCAACGGAAGCCAGTGGTAGGGAGAGAGCAGAGAGAGCCTCTGCTCTCATGCAGATCGCTGGATGGAGATCGGGCACAGGTAAAAAACGTTCAGCCTTTAGAGCCACTTTAGTTTAACAGCAGCTACTCAAAAATCAGTATTTACATTGTTCTTCTTGCCTGTCAATCACCCGGCTCTGCCAAATGATACAGCCTACACAATCTTTAGGAGGAAGGAAAGGCCTACAGATAAGTCATTGCTGTGTATTATTCTTTGAAACAAGTAAGTGATAAAGGGGGAGATTCACCAACCCAGACAGGAAGAGAGAAGAGGAGGAATGTTTTATTAAGGGCTGAATTTCTGCTGAATCAACATAGGCCATAGTTTAGGGCAATAGGGCTGTCAGGGGTGGAAAACAACCATTCACACATCATGGTGCTGTCAGTGGAACTGAAATGTGTTTGCAAGGAAGCGTACTGTTAATGCTACAGCATACAAAGACATTTTAGACAATTAGGAACTTCCAACCTTATGACAACAGGGAAAGCCCTTTCCTGTTCCAGCATGGCTGTACCCCTCTGCACAAAACTAGCTCCGTATGGTTTGGTGAGTTCAGGGTGGAGGAACTGGAGTGGCCTGCACAGAGTCCTGACCTTAACCCGGTTGGACAACTTTGAGATGTATTGGAATACTGTTTTTGACCGTGGTCTTTTCATCCAGTATCTGTACCTGACCTCATAAATATTCTGAAGAATGAATGGGTATTTCTACATACAGTACACACTACAAAACCTTGTGAAAAGCCTTCAAGAAGAGTGAAGGCTATTATTGTGCAAAAAAAGAAGAGGTCATGGCCAGGTTTACACAACCTTTAGGCCATGGCCTAGGATGCCAAGACTGCCAGTGTTGGTGCAAAGCCACTCACACATATTATAGAAATTGCCACCAGTTCAGTCCTGCTGGGTCCCTATTTTTGCTGCCTCTGTGCAATTTGTGCAGTGTCCATGTTGGAATAGCATACTTTGTACTTGGAGTTCACCCTCTCTGGGTCCGTATATTTAGAAATTGCCTGTAGAGCAGGATGCAGGGGCGGACTGACCATTTGGAAACGTGGGCACTGCCCGAGGGCCCGGGGTCAGTAGGTGGCCCCATGAGATGCCCCTGATACCTTTCTCATAGGCTTTTTTGAGTTTGGGCAAGGACACAGGGGCCCCATGATCCCCTATTGCCCGGGGGCCCCATGAGTTGTCAGTCCGCCCCTGGTAGGATGATAATTTCTCCTAATTTTCCTGTTGATGGTTCCACAAGTATGGATCCACGCTGCTCTGTCTTTCATTCTATTCTTTTCAAGCCTCAGCATGTGTCTTCTGGTTGTGATGAGTAATGTTGTTGGAGTGATATCAAGGTTAACCAGTTCGCCAGGTTGTATTGATTGAGGTTTACAGTATTTGCTATTTAGTCATAGACATAGACAGCTTTACCTACTTTGGAGGGACAGTCCCTCTTTAGGAAACAAATTATTTTATACTTTTTATCCTTGCCCTCTTTTAGGTCAGAGGTATAACAATGTAAAAATAAGTGTACTTTTTAACTATTACAGTGTGTTTTATTGCACATCCAACCTTGCATCTATTGTATATAAAGTAAAAATAGAGGTAAAAAAGTGGGATTAAGCAACCTGTTATACATGTATTTTTCATGATTGATGTAACGGGGGGCATGCTAGGGATGTGATATTGACAGTGCACTTAGAGAAAAATTCTGAGTTAGGCAAAATCACCCTATTAGTACACCCCATACACAAAACACTAAAAAGTTAATACAGTTTTGAATATCCTTACCATTTAGGAGAAAAGTCTAATTGAATTTTCATGACCTCATCTCTGTAATTCAAAAGATAACAGCATCTGCTGTGCCAAGGAGGAGGTCTAACAGCAGGGATTACATCATATCCCCTCCTCTCTCTCTGCATTAAAAGGAAACTACAGTTCCCATCAATCACAGGGAATATGCTGGGGGAATAGGAGGCATAGCAGAAACAGGTCTTACAAACAAGAAACCAAAGAGAATTATCGGTTTGATTTGAAAATGAATAGGCTATTGCAGAGCATTATAAAATTATATAAAAGGCATTATAAAATGTGCAGTGAGCATGTAGCTTCATGGCGTCATTTGTTGCAAAACAAACAACCTATAATATAGTAAATCTTCACATTGCTGTGTCAGGAGTTTCTGTTTGTGTTTAGACATGAGGCATATTGCACAACACTGCACAGGTTAATGCATGACCTCTATCTGTAGTCCAAGAACTGACATTTCCTTTGAGAAAACTATATGCCCCACAATCCCTGAGTCTCTTAGTCTAGCACTGGTGCAGGTGCGAGCTACATAGTAATTTGATCTGACACAGACACAAACAGGCAGAGCAGTTAACAGAGAGATCACAATACAGTCTTTATGGATTAGATGTTGTGTGACGCAGAACAAGAAACTGTCTGTCCCTCTGGTGAATAGGGGCAAGCTACGTGAATGAATACATGAACAAAGGGGGATTGATCAGTCATAACACTACAAACTGCAGCCACAGCATGTGAGGCAAAGAAACAGTGCAGGGAATATAACTACACTAATACCTAGTTAAAACAACAAAAACATTTTAAAGTGTACAAAGACTTTAAACCACTGAAATAAGTGTAATCGTTGTAAGCACCCCTGCCATAGTTTGCCCCAACTCCTGTCACTGTCAGTTTTGCACATATACATTTTTTGTTGGAGTTGTCCAGTGGGTTTATGATGTTTCCTTGTATATTCCTGCCCCCATTGTCTCACCTTGTGGAGCATTTTTAGAATTATAACAAAACTAGTATAAAGTTGCTGTTTGCCTTAATTTAATCAATCTGCAATTGTGTCTTTTCTAGGTTACCTGACAAGGCTGTTGCAGAATCACACTGTGTCTGCTTGTGACGGCGAACACCTGACCCTGCAGTGTCCTCGACATTCCACCATCAGCGTCCAGTCTGCGTTTTATGGGCATCACATGCACGGTTCACCAAAGTGTGGCTCCCTGTCACTAGAGACCATGACCAATCCTCATCAGCCCTGCCTTGCCCCAACTGCACTACAAGTAGGTGTTATGCTTCCTGCTAGCTATTCCTCCTGCTCTTAGGTATACTCAGGGGTGGACTGACCATTCGAGCACTCGGGCACTGCCCGAGGGCCCGGGGTCAGTAGGGTGCCCCATGAGATGCTCCTGGTACCTTTCATTGGCTTTTTCATAGGCTTTTTTGGGTGTGGGCGAGGACACAGGGGCCCCATGATCCCCTATTGCCCGGGGGCCCCATGAGTTGTCAGTCCAACCCTGGGTATACTGTTACTTGAGACATGCTGGTAGGTAAGATTACCATATGGCCTATGTGTGAGTGTGGTAGGGGCTTTAGGTTGTAGGTTTCTTTGGGGGCAAAAACTGATATGAATGGTTCTGTGTTTTCTTCAAACCCTCTCAATCAACATTAATTACTTTTAATCCTTATGCTGCTAGCATTAGTAAATAGATAGGAAGGTATATTATATTTACTTATTTTTTTACATTTCTTTAGTTGCTTTCTGGTTTCTGGCCCAGGCCAAAATGATGTCATACATCCCGGGAGTCTTCATGGGCCTTTTTTTTGTTCTTTTATCTGGAGGAGGGGAGGAGAGGCTTTCTCAGCTAAGCACACCCTCCTGTATGCATGGCTGAGCTAAGGGCAAATGGATTCCAGGAGGTAAATGCTACAGCCCTGGCCAAATGTTTTGAGAATTATGAAAATATTATTTTTCACAAAGTCTGCTGCCTCAGTTTTTATGATGGTAATTTGCATATACTCCAGAACGTTATAAAGAGTGATCAGATGACATGGAATTCATTGCAACATCCCTCTTTGCCATGAAGATGAACTTGATCCCAAAAAAAACATTTCGACTGCATTTCAGCCCTGCCACAAAAGGACCAGATGACATGATGTCAGTGATTCTCTCGTTAACACACGTGTCAGTGTAGATGAGGACAAGGCTGGAGATCACTCTGTCATGCTGATTGAGTTAGAATAACAGATTGGAATCTTTAAAAGGAGGATGGTGCTTGAAATCTTTGTTCCTCCTCTGTTAACTGTGGTTACCTGCAAAGAAACATGGGCATTCATCATTGCTTTGCACAAAAAGGGATTCACAGGCAAAGATATTTATGCTACTAAGGTTTCACCTAAATCAACCATTTATCGGATCATCAAGAACTTAAAAGAGAGAGGTACAATTGTTTTGAAGAAGGCTTCAGGGTGCCCAAGAAAGTCCAGCAAGTGCCAGGACCATCTATTGTTGATTCAGCTGCAGGATTGGGGCACCACCAGTGCAGAGTTTGCTCAGGAATGATAGCAGGCAGGAGGGAGTACATCTGCACACACAGTGAGGCAAAGACTTTTGGAGGACGGCCTGATGTGAAGAAGGGCAGCAAAGAAGCCACTTCTCTTCAGGAAAAACATCAGCGACAGACTGATAATCTGCAAAAGGTACAGGGATTGGACTGCTGAGGAGTGGGGTAAAGTCATTTTCTCTGATGAATCCCCTTTCTGATTGTTTGGGGCATCTGGAAAAAAACTTGTCCGGAGAAGAAAAGGTGAGCGCTACCATCAGTCCTGTGTCATGCTTCTCAGCCAAGGGAGTGGGCTCACTCACAATTTTGCACAACCATGAGTAAAGAATGGTGCAAAAACATCATCCAAGAGCAACTTCTCTTCTTCCAACCATGATGAAGCACCTTGCCATAAGGCAAAAGTGATAACTAAGTGGCTTACAGAACAAAACATTGAAATTTTGGATCTGTGGCCTGGACATTGAGAACTTGTGGCCAATCCTCAAGAGGTGGGGGAACAATAAAAAAAAACCCACAAATTCTGACAAACTCCAAGCACTGATTATGCAAGAATGGGTTGTCATCAGTCAGGATTTGGCCCAGAAGTTGATTGACAGCAGGCCAGGGTGAATTGCAGAAGTCTTAAAAGAAGGGTCAACACGGCAAATATGGACTCTTTGCATAAACTTCATTTAATTGTCAATAAAAGCCTTTGACACGTATGAAATGCTTGTAATTATACTTTAGTATACCATAGTAACATCTGACAAAAGATCTAAAAACACTGAAGCAGCAGACTTTGTGAAAATTAATATTTGAGTCATTCTCCAAATTTTTGGCCATGGCTGTACCTGATTTGTCTGCCCTTACTCAAGATGGCTGCAGCTAATAAAAGGCTAGAGGGGGTTTCAAAGTGATTTCCCAACAAAATAAAGGATGGAGACATGGGTGGAAGGGGTCTTTGCTTTGAATTTTAAAAATGAATGAAATAGCATTTTCAGCTTATGGTGCTCAGATACAGTTTAGCTCCACTTAAAGTGAATCTTGGTGCTACGTAGTGTGCTAATTAATCATGTTGGTAATGTGATGGCTTTGAGTGCCTACGTTTATCTTCAAATCTTTGCCATTGTGTTTGTGGATTCCTGTTGATTTCAGGCCCAGGCTGTATTCAAGACTTCGACTTCTGTCCAAGTCAGTACTAAGCTCCACCCCTACCAATTAAAAATCCAATGCCAAAAGCCCATTCTGTTAAATTGTAGTGGGTGGGGCTTATCGGCAAGCAAGGGTGGGGCTTAGTACATACTTGGACAGCAGTCAAGGAGAAAACTAATGTCATTGACTTGCAAACGCTCACAAAATCCTACTGTCTACATAGCATAGTGCTTCATTGTCTTGTCATACAACGTCAAAGTGGTTACACTCTTTCTGTCAATGTTAGGGCTTGCTCACCCTAGAGCGCGGCGCCGGAAAACCCACTTTCTGTGCACATTTCCTGCACCATGTTCAAAATGCACTGGTGCAGTCCCATACAATCTATCAGTGATCCTGTCTCATGTGCTGCATGGACGACAGGAAGGAGAGCACAGAGAACACAACACAGCTCACCTTCTCCTGGCTCTTTCCTCTCTGCCACTTCTCCTCTCTCTCTCTGCTCCAGGCTTTCCCCTGGTCCCAGCTCTGAATTCTGGCGGGCGGGGTACCCCTCTGATGCCGGCCCTGCATGGGTCAGTCCTCCACTGCTCACCAGGTCCCTTCTTCCATGGGGCGGTGCCGCCCCTTAAAAAATTGCCACCCTAGGCAAACTCCTTGTTTGCCTCATGGTAAATACACCACTGATGGACATGGGTCAGTATGGGCACCCTGATCGGTCTGCGGCTACTCAGCCCCCATACACTACAAACTGTGATGCTCAGTTTATTCTGACACCTTTCTATCATAACAAGCATTACTTTTTTCAGCAACTTTCTATTGGATCGGACTACGTGGGCCAGTCTTCACTCCCCATGTGCATCAATGAGCCTTGACCACCCATGACCCTGTCGCCGGTTTTCCTTCCTTGGACCACTTTTGGTAGATCCTGACCACTGCAGACTGGAACATCCCATAAGAGCTGCAGATTTGGAGTTGATCTGACCCAGTAGCCATTACAATTTGGCCCTTGTCACTCAAATCCTTACATGTGTCTATTTTTTCTACATTCAACACATCGACTTCAGGGACAATATGTTCACTTGCAGCCTGATATAACAATGACACCTGAAAGTGGGCAGGATATAAGATAATCCATGTTATTCACTTTACCCGTCAGTGGTCAAAATGTTATGGCTGATTGGTGTAAATGTATTACATAGAATTCTCTAAATTCTCAAAACGCATATTGTTTTTTTCCTTTACAGAACAGTTGAGTGAGAACGGGCTAGATCAAATAAAAGTGCAGTTTGTGATGGCTTACTATTGGTCTCCTTCTCTGCATGGCGTACTATTGTGTAAAAAGGAAATGATTTCATATATAGATTCGGCTGATACTAATGGGCATATGTAAGTGTACATATAAGATTTAGAACAGGAAAGTTTCATGGAACTGGGTTTTCCTTTTCATACAAATAATATAATAGAGAAGAGAAGAGAAGATTGGCTGATTGCACATGAACAGCATCTGGATGTGACTGTGAATGTGATGGCCCATTGTCCATTCTCTCTCTCTCTCTCTCTCTCTCTCTCTCTCTCTCTCACACACACACACACACACACACACACACACACACACACACACACACACACACACACACACACACACACACACACACACACACACACACACACACACACACACACACACACACACACACACACACACACACACACACACACACACACACACACACACACACACACACACACACACACACACACACACACACACACACACACACACAGTTGATGGGTGTGATCTGTTCTCAAGCTTGTGAAACTCTCATTGTTTTAGAAAGTCCTGGATGAATGCCAGAATCTTAGGTCCTGCCAGCTGCCTGTGAACAGTCGCGTATTTGGGTTGGATCCATGTCCGGGTACTACAAAATATCTTCTGGTGTCTTACAAGTGCAAACCTAGTAAGTGCAGCTTATATTTTGCCCTCACTGGTTCCTTCTTTTCCCTCTCATCATCATGTTTTTAAACACAAGTTTTCAATTTTCATTACATGCCTTTTTTTTTTTTAAACCCAGTTATGTCATCACTGGGCCTCTGTGCTTCACTACGCAATGCAGACAGATCATGGCTGGTGGAAGGAGCTGGCAAGGTGCTACAGATAGCTTCCTGAAAACATCACAAGACCCTGTCTTTTTTCTCCCCGGGACTGGAGAGAAGAGGCTTGGTGACGCTGGACTTCCTCCAGCCAGGGAATAAGGTGGGCTTTACCTGACTTGCTGCAACTTCTAATGCACATTGTGAAAAGCTCACAGTGTGCAGTGAAATCAGCAATATCAGTCCAGGAGAGGAGCCTCTACAACTGTGCAAGACTGAAGGAAAGGCTGGAGTTCAGCTTTAATAATATGATTGTGTGTGGGATGTGGGAATGGCTCATATGGGTTTATATAAACGGCAACTTTGCCTTTATTGAAGTTGTCCTTTTAAATATACCCACCACCACCCACATACCCAAATACCTTACCCTGCTCTTTGCTGCACAGCTTTTGAAAAAAAGAAAAGGTACCATTTGAACATAGTGCACATGGGAGCGAGCCACCCCATTCATTCCCATGGCAGGAAGCATACCTGTAGATGGCTGGGGCTGGCCCAAGTATAAGGATAAATGGGGGGGCACCTATACTCAGTAAGCTTATAGTGATAATAATCCCAAAAGCAAAAATGTTATTATATTGCAGCTTATCAATATTAAGTGTAATGGCTGCATTAGTTTTCTTTTTTAGACATCTTTTCCTTTACTTTCAACTGTGACAGTTCACAGCAGAAGCAATACGCCAGCAGCGCGCATGCCCCTGTGAGGCAGAAGTGCACAATTACATATATATATATATATACACACGTGATTTTACACAGGAGAGCCCCCTGTAGCAGTAAAACTGCTATAGGGCAGAGGGAAAGTGGTTAAAGACCAGCACTGAGCACAAGAAAAAAGGGACCCCCAACACTGCAAGGGTTAACTGCTCATTATGTCTAGGTGTCACGTACCTGGTCAGAGGCCAGAGTGCTCCCCTTCCGGCTGAGTGCGGAATACTCCTGAAGGTAGGAACAGGGGGTGTTCGGCCCAGAGAAGCACGAGTTGCCGGCTGTCTGGAGCCTGAAGAGCCAGGATGAGGAGCTGCAGAGCTGATGTCCCTCAGATGTGGCAGGCAGAACTTGCCATCAGGCAGGGATCAGAGTCAAAGTAAGGCCAGAGGTCAAGCAAAGGAGATCAATCAGAAGCCTAAGCAAGAAGCAGAAGCAAGGTCAGGAACAGGCCAAGGGTCAAACACAGGAGATCATGCAGGAGCAAAGTCAGGAGAATAAACCAAGGTCATATACAGGTGATCAGGCAGCAGCAAAGTCAGCAGAACAAGCCAGGGGTCAGAGTCAGGAGAGAAGATCAGACTAGTCCGAGGCAATCCGAGTTGGCAACGGGAAATCAAATAATCACAAGGAGAAGGCACAGGAACACAGGGGGCTGACGATCATCCAGCAATTAGTGGTCAGAGCTGCAGTCCCTTTAAAGGCAAATGGGCGCCAGAAACTATAGCGTCCTGCGGGTGCCACCGCACATGTGCATCCGCTGATTCGCGCACCCACATGCACAATGGCGCCCTGCATGTGCAACCTGCAGCCATGCTGGGTAATGGTGACAGTGCCAGTCTTTTTCCGCTTGGTCCTCTGACACGAAGGGCACAGTGATAAGGAATAATACGTACTTTACTCCATGCTAAAGATAGACTCCTCCAAGCGGTGCAACCAGTCCCAGAAAGCCTATTCCCCGGGGGCGCTCTCAGCCGTGGTCACACTTCTGCCTCCTTCACATCTAATGCGAGGTTAATAGCTCAGCATAGTACATGATGATGCTGAGGGACCACCCACCACAGAGGAGAGCCTATTGGAGCAAGGTATATGGTACGTAATGCATCCACTTTAGCTTCCTTGAGATCTAATGAGTATATAAAGTGATTGAAAAGGATCAAATTTTATTTAAAAAAAAATAACACTATTATACTTACCTGTTGTTACCTTACGTGTTATACTTTCCTGCTCTGTCTAATGGTTTTGCAGAGAGCAGCCCCAAATCTCTTCTTGAGCCCCCCCTTCCCCACCAGCACTCCTGGCTCCTCCCCCCACCCCTACCAAGTCCCACCATAGCAAGCTATGAGGGCACTCATGCGGACTCACTCCCAAGCCGGCTCTGTGAGTCCATAGATAAACAGAGCATGGCTTGGCCTCGACCCTGCTCCCTTGTCACTGGCTGTGATTGACAGCAGCGGGAGACAATTGCTCCTGGAGCTGTCTCTGAGCCAATGAGGAAGGAGAGAGCCACTGCTCTTGTGCACATCGCTGGATCGAGATCAGGCTCAGGTAAGTATAAGGGGGAGCTGCATACAGAAGGGTTTTTTTTTACCCTAATGCCTAGAATGCATTATAGTAAAAACCTTCAGCCCAGGGGTGGACTGACCATTTGGAAACTCGGGCACTGCCCGAGGGCCCGGGGTCAGTAGGGGGCCCCATGAGATGCCCCTGGTACCTTTTTCATAGGCTTTGAGTTTGGGCAAGGACACAGGGGCCCCATGATCCCCTATTGCCCGGAGGCCCCATGAGTTGTCAGTCCGCCCCTGCTTCAGCCTTTATAACCATGTTAACCCTTGCAGTATGGGGGTTCCCCACAGGAAGGGTTTTACTTCTCCATCCTGGAGCTGAGTTTTAATATTGACAGACGTAATGGAATAAAAAATATTTCATGGTATTAGGCGAGAAGCTGGTATAGTAGAATTCCTCAGCTCACTCTGCTGCAGAGAAGAAAAGCGATATTGTTGCGATATTTGGTTCAGTAATTGACTTGGAAGGATAAATATTACTTTTGTTAAGTTGTGTGGCTGTAATTATACAAATCTGCTTAAGCTTCCATTTTCAGTTATTTGTTGCTAATTAATTTGTTATTCACATATTCCAACATTTATATAATTTTCATATTCATTTATTTATGTATCTTGCATTATTTTGAATTCAGTGTTATATGGGGACTATTTATTCCCTGCAGCAAAGGTTGCTGGTTAAATAGAAAAAAATTCAAAGTGCAAAAATCTGTATTTAGGCTAGGTTCACACCTATGCAGGTTGCGTTTGAGCCATTTCTGCATTGCATTTTGCACCTGCGTTTTTGCCGCGTTTTTGTTTTTTTTCTTGTTGCTAGGCAGATTTAAAATGCAAAATGCAGCAAAAACGCAATGCATGCTTTTCTGCAGCATTTCCATTGAAGTCTATAGAACCACAAACGCAACTTTTTGCATTAAAAAAAAGTCTCTGACCCTTTCCAAAAAACGCACCGGGTGAAAACGCACAGATGTGAATATGTCCCATAGGAAATCATGTTAAATGGACTGTAGTGCGTTTCTGCCAAACGCTGCAGAAAACGCTTAGATGTGAACCTGGGGTGAGTGTTACTGCAGGAGATACAGTAGTTGGGGGATAGAAGATTAGTCTCTTAAGATCAAATCCAAACTCTGGACTCTGTGCTCCTCACCAGGGACCAGAAGTGTACAGAATGCCTCCAGGTTACCATATTGCGTTGAATTACAAAGTTACATAGTTCGGTTGAAAAAAAGACACACTTCCATCTAGTTCAACCAATAAAAGGAAAAAAATGATACAATCCTATATACACAGTACTATACCCACAGTTGATGCAGAGGAAGGCAAAAACCCCAATAAAGCATGATCTAATTTGCTCCTGGCAGGGGAAAGAATTTTACAGGAAATTATAGCAGCTGCAGATTAAAAGGAAAAGTAATCTATAATAACATTAAAGCTGTAATAAACCAAAAAGCAAACATTTATTATATTGTAGCTTACCAATTCTTAGATGTGTCTGTAGTAGTTTTTCTTTTTTAGGCTTTCTTCTATTTTCCTCTGGTGATCTGGCCAGTAAGTCTGTTGTCGTTCAAAAGAACAAGCTCCCTTGCAGATTGTATTAGTTTACAGGGATTGAGACAAACTACTGAACACTCACAGGGGTGCTTACAATGATCAGCTTTTATTTATTTATGTAAAACGTTTATCCCAAAAGGAAAAAACTGTTTGCTGTAACGGAATATAAGATGTGAGCTGGAGTTTGGCTTCAATGTGTTAGTGTATTTAAATCTGCTAATACGTTTAGGCCTCATGCACACATGGCGTTTTTATAGCCACTTTTAGGGGGCGTCAGGTGTTTATTTTTTAATTCTGCTTCCAAATGGCCCTCTATGTTATCCTATGTGTTTATGCACACATAGACTTGTAGAAGCTTTTAGTAGTAGTAGCAAGTCCCTGACCTTTTCCAAAAACAGAGCAGCTGAACAATGCATAGATGTGAATGTGTCCCATAGGAAACCATGTTAAATGGACTGTAGTGTGTTTCTGCGAAAAGCACTAAAAAAACACATTGGTGGGAACCAAGCCTAATAGGTCAGTACAAAAATAGATAAAGACTACCTGCAGATAAACCATGGCTATTGTCAATATAGGCAATTTGTAAATGTCAGTGATACCCAAGGCTTTAGTAGACTGAATGTCATCTAGTTGGGTCTCTTTCAGATGGGACGGTTGTGGGTTTCGGTAGGTCTCTTTCAGATGGGACGGTTGTGGGTTTCGGTAGGTGTCTTTCAGATGGGACGTTTGAAGGTTTTGGTAGGTTTCTTTCAGATGGGAGGTTTGTGGGTTTTGGTAGGTTTCTTTCAGATGGGAGGTTTGTGGGTTTCGGTAGGTGTCTTCCAGATGGGATGGTTTGTGGGTTTCGGTAGGTGTCTTTCAGATGGGACAGTTGTTGGTTTCGGTAGGTCTCTTTCAGATGGGACGGTTGTGGGTTTCGGTAGGTCTCTTTCAGATGGGGTGGTTGTGGGTTTCAGGAGGTCTCTCAGATGGGACGGTTGTGGCTTTCG